TGATAAATTTTGAGGTTAGAATATTTATATTTAAATTATTTTATTTATTTTTATTTTTTGATTCATAGAAATATTAGTATATAGTAAAATAAGATCAGATTATTAAAAAAAAATATATAATTTTAAAAATGCATAATTAAATGTATAAGTTAATAGAAATTAAAAAAAAATGAACATTTTTTATATAAACAAAAAGATTAAATGAATACATAAATGAAAATTTATATAGTAAAATATAAATGAAAATGAATAGTAATAACAATTCATAAAAAAAAATTACTGAATTGATTATAAACACCAAGTTATATTAAAATTTAATTATAATTTAAAAATGTTAAATATGACTATAATATACATTACTATTAATCATATATATCAATATTAGATACATTCAATGCATTGATTATCTAATTACACTTAATATTTAATATATTTTTTATTGCATTGAATTCATGTTTTCAAATCATTAAGATTTTATCATTCTAATGTCATTCAAGCATTGATTTGATAATTATATGGATAAATCGTAATATTAGTAGCGATTAAAATTGAAATTAGATTTCAATATAAGCTAAATTTCAATATAAAAGAATAGATTCGACAAATGCGAATCTTTGATAGTGTTATGTTATCTCACAAATCATATATTATTATTATATATGTTTTGTGAAATCGTTATTCTAAAGATTAAATCTCAGAATGTAATACCTATATTTTTGTATATTAAAAATTAAGACACATTGTAATTTTAAAAGAAAAAAGGATGAAAATGTGTTCAATTTCCTTTATCTCATCTATAATCACGTATTAAAAAAAATATATATATAAAGAGAACAAATAATACATAATATATAACAATATATACATAAAGAAAAAGGATAGAAATAAGATAAAAATTCAGGAATCAGCACTATTTCTAAAATGTCGTTAATGAAACATAAATATAGAAAAAACAAACATATAAAAAAAAAAGGCAAATATAAAATAGGAATTGTTTATCAACACCATCTCTTGAATATTTTTAGAAAGATGTTTTTGACATTTAAGAAATAACGTTAATTTTTTAATATATATTCTACTTTATTTTGTATTTGAAAAAATATTTTTGTCAAAAAATGATGATAAATTCTTATTCTATTTCTATCCTTGTCTATATTCAGTTTTTATATTTTCTTTCGCCCACTATTCTTTTTGCCTATACTTGTTTTACAAAACTTGTGTTGAAGCAATGATTCCGATATCTAATTAACTTTATTATTTTTTTTGTCTATTGATTAAAAATTTTAATAGACTTATCTATTCGATTCAATTTCTATATATAGTAAATATATAAATTTAAAAAAATAAAAATTCTTGTAATATAAAATAGTATTCTACATTTATTTTGTCCATCTTGTCTGTAGTAATAGAAGTGCAATATCTAACACATGAATTATGTGATTATTTCTAGGGATTTTATTTCTAAAATATCTTCAAAAATTAATATAATTGCAATCTTCTATATAATAATATATTAAAGAACATGGCGGTTAGTTGATGGAAAGGTGTACGTAAACAAAACGTTAAGTTTTACTAATCTTGTAATTAACAGTTACTTGTAAATAGTAATAATAATAATAAATGTATATAAATATATATACATAATTGTAAATAATTAGATATATAATATATGATTATTAAAGACATATGTGCAATATTGTTACATGTGAACAACATACATCTACTGTACATTCAAAAAATCAATAATTTTTTGTAAGAGTTTAAAATCATATTAATTTATTGAGTGCTAATTATAAAAAATGGCTGATTCTGAAGAGGAAAATGATAAAGATATAATATCTGGAATTAATATGACTGGTTTTTTATTTGGAAACATTGATGACAATGGTCAATTGGAAGATGATATTCTTGATCCAGAGGCAAAGCAACACATAACTTCATTAAATAGACTCGGATTAAGTTCGTTTATTCGCGAAATGATGTTAAATGAAGATGTTATTGAAGAAAAGGGTAATGAATCTAATGATAAAATTGAAGAAGAAAATAATATAACTGATGAAAAAGATATAAATTATGTGGAAAAATCACCTAGTGCACTTGATTTTTCTGATATAAATGAGTTAGCAGAAGATGAAAAAGAAGAAAGTATTATAAGTATGTAATTTATTAAAGATTATTTTTTATGAAAAAAAAGTTAATATATAATATTAAAATTTATTAATTCATTTTTTAAATATATTTTTTTTAATTAATTTTTAATTAGACAAACAGGACATGTTTGAAGGTAAACCTGAGAAGGAAAATGCTGATTATGATGCAGATGATGAAGAAGTTATTATTAAATCTGATACACAATTAATGCCACCTCCTCCAATACCTGAAGAAAAAGAAGCACTTACAGCAGAAGAAGCAGAAGCTGCACGTCAGCGTAAATTAGAAACTCCTCTTGCTTCTATGCTACCATCAAAATATGCCAATGTTGATGTTACTGAATTATTTCCTGACTTTCGAGCTAATAAAGTTCTAAGATTTTCAAGATTATTTGGTCCAGGAAAACCTAGTAGTCTTCCACAAATATGGAGAGGTGTCAAAAAGAGACGTAAAAAGAAACGTCATCATGATGTTAGAGATTCTGATTCTGGTTCTGATCAAGAAGAAAAAAAATCAAAATTTAAAGTCTGTATAAAAAAGAAATTTTCAGTTTAAAAATAATATTTTTATATTATATTTTTTATATTTTTATATTATATGTCTTTATATTATAGGGTTGGGTAATGCAATATAGTACAGATCAAACTCCAGATATGTATTGTTCTGATGATGAAAATAAATTATTAATGCCAATAGAAGATAAAGAACAAATTGGTAAAACAGGTGAAATTGGTGAAAATGGAGATATGGGACCAAAAGTAGCAGATTGGCGATTTGGTCCTGCACAACTTTGGTATGATATGCTTCAAGTTCCAGAAACTGGAGATGGTTTTAATTATGGATTCAAACTTATTGATAAGGTATTTGCATACATTAAAATTATATTGTATATTAAATATAAAAATTATTAAATTACACTTACTATTTGATTTTCCAAAAATTATTTATAACTATATAAAATTATTTTTATATAGTTTATGATATAAAGATATATAAGAAATGTTATTATTATAAAAAATTATATTTTTAATAGACAGATGAATTAAATAATAAAGATAAAAATATTAGAGATACTAATGAAGAATTTTCTGATGATGCATTTTTAATGGTATCACAATTGCATTGGGAAGATGATGTTATATGGAATGGTGATGATATAAAGCACAAGGTATGTGATATTTTGATGTAAGATATTTCTAATTAAAAATTTGTATATGATAACAAGTAAGAATACAAATACTTTGAAAGGTATTACAGAAATTAAATAGTAAAAATAATGCGGCTGGATGGGTACCATCCAGTGGAAATAGAACTGCTCAGGCATTTAGTCAACCAGGCAAAGGTGCACCTGTATCAGTTACATCAAATGTTCGATTAGCCACTTCACAAATTACAACTCCATTACATATGCAATCTCAAAAAACTAAAATGTAAGAAAAAACGCATTCTATTAATTATGTAAAGAATTAGTATGTTAATATACATATAAACATGTATGTAATGTATATGATATATTTTTATTTTCATTATTGATCTTACTAGGAACATGAATAAAGCAAATCAGCAACAAAATCGAGAAGAAAATTATGACGATACTTGGTATTCGATTTTTCCTGTAGAAAACGAAGAATTGGTATATGGTCTTTGGGAGGAAGAAGTGATTTGGGACCCTGAAAATATGAAAAAAATTCCTAAACCTAAAATTCTTACTTTGGATCCCAATGATGAGAATATTGTTCTTGGTATTCCTGATGATATAGATCCAGCATTAGTTCATAAAGATAATGGACCTCAACCAAAAGTGAAAATACCTCATCCTCATGTTAAGAAAAGTAAATTATTATTGGGAAAAGCTGGAGTAATTAATGTATTAGAAGAAGATACTCCACCACCACCACCAAAATCACCTGATAGAGATCCATTTAATATTTCAAATGATACGTAAGCTAATATATAATAATTTAATAATAATAAATAATTTTAATTTCCATAAAAAACAAATTCAATTATTATTGATATTATTTAGATATTATATGCCACGATCATCAGAAACAACATTACGATTAAAAGTTGGAGGTGGAAATTTGATACAACATAGTACACCTGTAGTAGAATTACGTGTTCCATTTGTTCAAACTCATATGGGTCCAATGCGCCTTCGAAATTTTCATAGACCACCCTTAAGAAAATTTAGTCATGGTCCAGTTGCTCATTCTGGTCCACATTCTGTATTGCCATTAATAAAACACATAAAAAAAAAAGCTAAAGTATGTGTTTATATTATATTTTATAATTGTTTGTTAAAACAAAAATTAAATGACGTTTGCATCTTAGCAAAGAGAACAAGAAAGAATTGCATCTGGCGGAGGTGATGTCTTCTTTATGAGAACTCCTGAAGATTTAACTGGCAAAGATGGTGAATTAGTACTTATCGAATTTTCTGAAGAGCATCCTCCTTTAATGAATCAGGTAGGAATGTGTTCTAAAGTGAAAAATTACTACAAAAGAAAAGCGGGAAAAGATCAAGGACCACAGAAATACAAATATGGTGAAACTGCTTATGCTCATACTAGTCCATTCCTTGGAATTCTTACACCTGGTCAAAGCATACAAGCAGTTGAAAATAATATGTATAGAGCCCCAATTTACGAACACAAAATTCCAGAGACAGATTTTTTAGTTATCAGAACAAGGTATTGTAATACAATGTATTGTATTTTTTTTATTGCAATGTGAAAAATGCAATTATGAATTATTAATGAATTTTTATATATAATATGTAGACAACAATATTATATCAGAGAAGTGGATGCTTTATTTGTTGCTGGTCAAGAATGTCCATTATATGAAGTTCCAGGTCCTAATTCAAAAAGAGCTAATAATTTTGTGAGAGATTTTTTACAAGTATTTATATATAGATTATTTTGGAAATCTCGAGATACTCCTCGACGTATTAAAATGGATGATATTAAAAGAGCATTTCCTTCACATAGTGAAAGTAGCATTAGAAAACGTTTGAAATTATGTGCTGATTTTAAAAGAACAGGTATTTATAATTTTATATATATTATATTAAATTACAATTTTTTTAAATCATTTTTATATTTTATATAAATATCAAAATTTATTCTATTATTAGGCATGGATTCAAATTGGTGGGTTATAAAACCTGACTTTAGATTACCAACAGAAGAAGAAATTCGAGCAATGGTCTCTCCAGAACAATGTTGTGCTTATTTTAGTATGATTGCTGCTGAACAAAGATTAAAAGATGCTGGATATGGTGAAAAGTTCCTATTTACTCCTCAAGATGATGATGATGAAGAAATGCAATTAAAAATGGATGATGAAGTGAAAGTTGCACCTTGGAATACAACACGAGCATATATTCAAGCTATGAAAGGTAAATGTTTGTTACAATTGGCAGGACCAGCTGATCCTACAGGTTGTGGTGAAGGATTTTCTTATGTTCGAGTGCCAAATAAACCTACAATTAGCAAAGTAAGTATATGTTTTATTGTTATAATTTCTTTTGTACATTTTAAGATATTTTTTTTGAAATATGAATTAGGAAGAACAAGAAGCTCAACCAAAGAGAACAGTAACTGGAACTGATGCTGATTTAAGAAGATTATCATTAAACAATGCAAAAGCATTACTTCGAAAATTCGGTGTTCCTGAAGAAGAAATTAAAAAATTATCGCGATGGGAAGTAATTGATGTTGTTAGAACATTATCTACAGAAAAGGCCAAAGCTGGTGAAGAAGGTATGACTAAGTTTTCTCGAGGAAATCGGTTTTCTATTGCTGAGCATCAAGAAAGATACAAAGAAGAATGTCAAAGAATCTTCGATTTACAAAATCGTGTTTTATCTTCTAATGAAGTTTTAAGTACAGATGAAGGCGAAAGTTCTGAAGAAGATAGTTCTGACATAGAAGAGATGGGTAAAAATATAGAAAATATGCTTTCCAATAAGAAAACTAGTACGCAATTATCTCTTGAACGAGAGGAACAACAACGACATGAATTACGAAAAATGTTGATGGGGGAAGTTCAAGAACAAGATAAAAAAACCAAAGAAAAAAAGAAAGATGATGAAGAAGATAGTCCTGTAAATAATTTTAATTCACAACAGGGTAGGGTTCTTAAAATTTATCGAACGTTTAGAAATCCAGAAGGCAAAGAATATACAAGAGTAGAATTAGTAAGAAAATCAGCAGTAATAGATACTTATATAAAAATTAGAAATTCTAAAGATGAAACATTTATTAAACAATTTGCAACATTGGATGAAGCACAAAAAGAGGAAATGAAGAGGGAGAAAAGAAGAATTCAGGAGCAATTACGTAGAATTAAACGGAATCAAGAACGAGAACGTATGCTTGGTGGTCCCATGACAGGAAATAATGCATCATCGAGTAATATATTCGATCGTAGTAGTAACAATACCCCAACAACTACATCCTCGAATAGTATCCTTCCATTCTGTAATTCTTTCCAATCTACTTCTCCTGCTTCTAAACATCCTAAACCTGATATATCTCCTTCTAAACGTAAGAAACCTAAACTTAAACCAGATCTTAAACTAAAATGTGGTGCTTGCGGTAATGTAGGTCACATGCGTACGAATAAAGCTTGTCCCTTATATCAGAATAGCATAACTACAGCACCAGTAAATGTTGCGATGACAGAGGAACAGGAGGAAGAGATTGAAAAACAACTCAATACAGATGATCAAGATCTCGTTAACGTAGATGGAACTAAAGTGAAATTATCATCTAAATTAATTAAGGTAATTTATTTTGAATTATTTAAATTAATTATTTAGCTATTAAATATTAAAGCATTAAAATTAAAAAATTAAAAACTATTAAAATAAAATAAAATTTGTAATTTTTATTTTGTATTTCTTGTAGCATGCTGAAGAAATGAAAAGACGTACGTTACTTTTGAAAGTGCCCAAGGAAGCAGTAAATTCCAAAAAACGAAGGAGAGCTACTGGAGATGACCATTGTGATTATCTTAAACGACAACAGAGACCTGCTAATAGGCGTAGAACAGATCCTGTTGTTGTTATGTCTACAATGCTAGAAAGTATACTTAACGAAATGAGAGACTTACCTGATGTTCAACCTTTTCTATTTCCTGTTAATGCCAAGGTATATTTTATTTTTATTGAGTATGTTTTAATAAATATATTTTACAATTTATCTATATATTTGTCATTATTCTATATATATATCTATATATTTATCTATATATTTATCTATATATTTGTCATATTTCTATTAGGCTGTTCCTGATTATTATAAAATTATACAAAGGCCTATGGATTTGCAAACTATACGTGAAAATTTAAGATTAAAAAAATATCAAAGTCGAGAAGAATTTTTAGCTGATGTTAATCAAATTGTAGAAAATTCAACTCTATATAATGGAATAAAAAGTTCATTAACAGTAGCAGCCAAACGTATGTTGGAAACTTGTGTAGAAAGACTTGGAGAAAAAGAAGATCGTCTGATGAGATTAGAGAAAGCAATTAATCCTTTATTGGATGACAATGATCAAGTTGCTCTTACTTTTATTTTAGACAATGTTGTAAATAATAAATTGAAATCTATGACAGAAGCTTGGCCATTTTTAAAACCAGTTAATAAGAAATTAGTGAAAGATTACTATAATGTTATTAAGAGACCTATGGATTTAGAAACTATATCTAAAAAAGTATCTGGTAATTTAAACTATATTTATAATGATATTAAATATTATGAATTTTTTTATAAAAATCATGATTATATTTATATTTATTATATTGTTTTCAGCACATAAATATCATAATCGTCATGAATTTCTTAGAGATATCGAACAAATTTTGGAAAATTGTACAGTATACAATGGAAAGGAATCTCCATTTACACAAAAAGCAGAATTGCTAGTGAAAGTTTGCAAAGAAACATTAGATGAGGTTATTATTGAGATTCTTTAAATATATTTTAATTATAATTAAATTTTAATGTTGTACTCATAATTAAATTATATTTTAGTATGATGAACATTTAACACAGTTAGAAAACAATATATTATTAGTACAAAAACGAGCAATGGAACAAGCAGACATAGATTCTTCATGGCTTGGAGCAGATGAAGAAAATTATACTATTGTAGAACCAGAATTTAGAGGGGTATTATATTTATTTATAAATTAAATTTATGTTTATTTTGTTTTATTTTTTAATAAAAATTTTTATAAAACATGTAAAATGTTTTTTTACAGAGTCAAACAAGTTCGCCAGAAAATCCATTTGGAAAAACGAACATGGAAGATTTTGATTTTGTGGATGTAGAAGGAGATATGGAAGGTGATGGTAGTAGAAGTGTAAATTCTAAAAAAAAAGATGTTCTTGAAGAAGGTAAATAAAATTTTTTCATATATATTTTTATATATTATATATTATATTTTTATATATATTTTTATATTTGTATATATTTTTAGTTTTACTTAAATAAAAAAAAATTATTAATATATTTCGTTATAGATTTACAATTCTCTAGTGAAGATGAATTTGATGAGGTTCCATTTGGTACGGATGAACAGTCTGAGAATGCTGAAATGGAAACACTTGAATTGAATGAAGTTAGAGAAAATACAGAAGGCGGAGTAGTATTGGCGGATGATGATAGTCAACAAGCAGCGGAAGCAATGGTTCAATTGGGTAATGTCGGTTTTTATATGACGGACCAACAATTGCTTCAGCAAGGTTGGTAATTGTAAAGTATTTTATATATATTTTTATTATTTTATTGTTTTTTTAATCAATTTTTTTTTTAAATTACAGACGAAAGTATGGATGTTGATCCAAACTATGATCCTTCTGACTTTTTGTTAGCTGGTTTACCAGCCAGAGATGAAAAAACTGAGAATAAAATACAGGATGATCTTGCTGTATCTGAAAGCGATGATGATGCAGAAAATAATGCGAAACAAAAACAAAAAACATCACAACCATTACCACAACCAGAAGAAGATGTTGGTGGTGATCTTTGGTTTTAAACAAATATCATTTATTTTTAGTAATAAAATTATTTTGTAGTTTACTTCTTAAATCAAAAGAATTATATTACAAAATGAGAAAAAAGTAAGAGAAAATCAAAATATTTATTTCTTATAGGAATAATTGAATTTCAATATTTGAAATTAAATGAAATGTGTATGTTGTTTAAAATGAATGATTTTATAAAAAAGAAAATGAACGCCTGAATTCCTATAACATATCTATGAATATTATATATACATACATGTAAATATATAGTAGAAAATTATTTTATAAGTATCACGCGTATCTTATTTTTTATGCAGAATAAACTGTATAAATTTATAAAGAAAAATAGTCAAAATAAAATAGTCGAATGTAAAAGTTTGCAAATTCAGTTTGCTTAAAACTATTTCTAACCAAATTTTTGTTTATATAGTAAAATAAATTTTTTACAGTATTAATATAACATTACTTAACAATGATTACTGATACGAAATTAAAAAATAAAATGGATTATATACAACGAATGTGTAAAGATTTGTCACGCGATCAAAATAAACTACTTAATAATATAATTCATATAACAAAAAATGCATTACCACATCAATTGATAATTTATGATCCAAATAATATTATTGTATGTATTATTCAACTTTATTTTTATTATTATGATATATTGCTTCGAACTGATAACATATGCATATATAAACGAAGAAAAAAATATCGACATGCCAGAGAATGTTACAATAATTTATTGAAAATATATATTCCTAAAAAGTCTAAAGAAACTCTTGAAATTATACTTAATACAATTTGTGAAAATAAACTTTGGGAGTTTGAAACCTTTTGTTTTGAACTTATATGTGATTTATTGAAATATGGTCTTAGTGGATCATTAATGTTTCATGCTATATGGGATAAAATTGAAGGTCCAAATATGAATATAGAAGATTCAAAAAGAATCATGAGAATATTATATGAATTATTAAATGTATATGAATGGCCAAATACTCATGATACAATAATAGTTATTGAAAGAATTTTAAATCTTTTTTATATTTCTATAACTACTACAGAATCAACAATTAATTTTATACCATATGCAACACTTAAAAAAAGTTTGGAAGTTTGTATTATTAATATGGTAAAACATATATATAATTATCATCTTCTCATCATAATTCATCACATGTGTTCATGGGTTGTTGAAACAGAAATGACTGATGAATTTATATTACAATTTGGTAGTACACTTGAATATATAGCCTTCATACATAATGTAACATTATATGAGAAAACTTTAACTCCAAAGATATTTCCATTATTAATGGAAATGATAGCATCCACAAGTAAGATAAGCAGCTTATTAGGTAATCGAGTTATTCAACATTTGCTTGATAGAAAAGAAAATAAAGCAAATTTTGATACACCTAAAATATTTTTTGAAGATGCTAACTTTGACATAAAAGTGGAACGATATTATAAAGAAGATAAAATATTCTGTAAATATCATAGAGAAATTTTACATGACAGTTTTCTAAAAGGTATTTTAAATCATTGTTCATCACGTATGAATTTAGAATCAATATATTGTACAATATGTCTGATTGCTGTAGAAGTTCCATGTGGATTTACAGCAGCAGCTGTAGTTTGTCTTTTAATGAATTTACAAGATATAACTTTAAAAGAACAAAATAAACGTCATGTTGAAATATCGTATCATATACATGCAACAGTGATAGCAATTATGTCTCTTTTATGTTGGATTCATAAAGCTGATGTATTTTACGAATATGTGAATAAAATAATGTTGGAAAGGGCACAATGGGCTCCGCATTTAAATCCTCCTATTCAATCTCAATATAATTTTGCTGCACATCATATTCTTTGGAACAAACCAGATTTATTTTTTGTAGATTGGGAAGCTCGCTATGGTTTGTGGAAATGTTTTCGTTTAAGTGAAACTGATGAACAAGAAATTGATGCAGATTAAAATAATTTAATTTTATCAAATTATATGATTCAAATTAATTTTAAAGAATTTTAAACTTGTAATGTCAAATTTTACATAATATCATGAACGTTAAGAAATGATTTGAATGATTGAATTACGAGTATAACAATATTTATCTTGATATTTTTTATTTTCAATTTATAATTTATAAGTAAATTTGAAAACATTTTATAATAAACCTATATCATACAATTATACATACAAGTAATTGACATCAAAATGGCTGTTTTGATATTATACATATATATATAAATATATATCTGCTATATATATATAGCATAACTCATAGTATTACGTATTAAACAAAGGCAAGAAAAATTAATAGTGTATAGTATTTTATTAAATATTTATCATAATTTGCACTTTTCAAATGTATAACAATGTTAGTATATAATTAAAATTTATTTATAATTAAAAAGCGCGGTAATTTATTCGAAATTATTAATTTTTGTATATCCATTTCACATCACTTTAAATATTTTTGAATCATAAAACAATTATTTTATAAATTATAAATTAAACATGAACTATTTGGAAATTGATGAAATGTTTCTTTGTAATTCCTAAGAAATTCTAAGAAAATATTGACAATGAAATCAAACAAACATTTTTAAGCGCAAATTATACTGTAATTATTAATATCGTATTGTTTACATAACGAATTTTAGTTTTTGGATTATTTTCGTCAAATCATCAAATTGCGTATCAATAAAGGTTAACTTTTTAAACAAATTAAAATGTTTATTTTTTTGTTTATTATCAATGTGTTCTTTAATGATGACAATATTTTTTTTATTTTTGAAAAGAATAATTTTAGTTATATGATTTGAAAATTTTAATTAATAATTTGACAGAAATATATACATAAATAAATTTTCTTAATTCAAATAATATTACTTAAAATGTAACTATAAAACAAAATTAAAAAAAATTTGCAAGAATTATAAATAAAAAGTAAAGTATATTTATGATTCATATTTATTTATGAATAATTTGTTGTGAATATTTATTTTTCAGTTACACAAATAATTTTAAAGAAATAATGTCTGGAGAACAGTTTTCTTTAGTTTGGAATAGTTTTCCTAGAAATTTATCCTCTGGATTATATACTTTATTAACTGATGAACAATTAGTTGATGTAACTTTAGCTGCAGAAGGTCAAATATTACGTGCACATAAATTAATATTGTCAGTTTGTAGTCCATATTTTAGGGAATTGTTCAAGGTATATTTTAATTTATTTAATGTAATTTATATTTGTTTTATGATAATAAGATATTTATAATAATATAGGGAAATTCTTGTAAACATCCAATTGTGATTTTAAAAGATGTCAATTATCGTGATCTGTCAGCAATGCTTCACTTTATGTACCAAGGAGAAGTTAACATTAAACAAGAAGATATTGCTAGTTTCTTAAAAGTAGCAGAAAGTTTACAAATAAAAGGATTAACTACAGGAACAGAAGAGGTATATTCAAACAGATAATAAATTAAATGTGCAATAAAAGAATTTATTTTTAAGAATTTATTGTTGTAGAAATTTGAAGAAAATTTGACAAAGAATGCAGAAAACTTAGATCAAATATTGAATATAGAAAATAGCAGTATTAATTTTGTTAATTCAAATGCAAATGCTTTGATTTCAAAAGAAGAAAGACCTGTGCAGAAAAATCAACAATGCCAAAAACAACATGTTCTATCAAAAGATGAATTACACAATGATGAACTATCATTAGAGAATAAAAATGTCAGTGATAAATGTTACCAACAATATTCTATTTCTAATTCAACTTATAATGTTCAAAATTCTCATATGGAACAAAATAACAGTTCAACAAATTTAGAAGATGAACCATTGGATTGTACAGCTGATGTAACTCATATGGAATCAACAAAGCATGAACCATTGGATTATACACTTGATATAGATACAGAAACAGGATATAAAACATGTTTGCCTAATGAATCACTTTATAAATCTGATGAAAATTTTGAGACAAAAGGTAATTATTTATATAATATATTATTAGTATAATCATTTAGAAAAAACAAGAAATTATGAATTAATAGATTAATGACAATAAAGATAATTATTTGAAATAGAAAAATTATTTAATTTTTTATTTAAATATTCCAAAATAAAATAATTAAAATTAATGAAAAAATTACTGTTTTATTGAGAACAAAAGATTTGACACACTTAATTATTTTCAATGAATAATTGTACAAAATTTTTTTATATATAAATTAATTTTATAATAAAATAAATTATATGTTTATTTACTGAATGTTTCAAATCTAAATTTGTTATAATTCAATTATTCATAATGTGAAAATATTGATAAAAAATATTATATTTTGTAGATTATGTACCAGATATGCAGTTAGTTCCCTATAATCAGAATGCCCAAACTCAACCATTTAGTAAGTCTTTATATTTCATCTATTTTATTAATTCAATAATATATTAATTCAATATATTAATTCATATTAATATCAATATATTAATTTTATAATTTTTATATATTTTTAAAATACCTTTATTAAAAATTATTAAATTATAATTATCAATAATATATATTTTATTTATATTTATTTAATAGGTTTAAATAACGTAAGTGGTTTTGAAAATGAATTTACATATGAAACTGGTTGTCATAGTAAAGGTCGACGTACTGTTAAAGGTATTTCCAACAATAGTTTACCATTAGAAACAACTTTACGTGTTGTATCTGAATTGGGACCAACTTTACGTATGGAAAGAGGCAAAGTTATTCGAATGTATTCATGTCCATGGTGTCTTCGTCATTTTACACGTAAAGAAAATTTGAAACTACATGTTCGATATATTCATGGTCCACTTGAAAGTCTAACATGTAGACTATGTGGTAATAAATATAAGAATAGTAACAGTTTACGTGTACATTCATATCTTTATCATAATGCTAAACGGGACAAACCTAATAAGCCATTACTTGATGGTGGAGAATGAAATTAAAAAAAAAAAAAAAGAACTGATATTAAAATTTGCACAAAATTACTGCATAATATATGCAATATTGTTACAATTTCATTTTTAAGAAAATTGACTGCATGTGCTGATTAACAAAAAAATTTATAAAAATCTAATTATTTAATATTTTTTATTTTGTTTTTATTATGATTGTTAAACTATTTAAAGACTT